AGTAACAAGTGCCACGCTAGTAGTAACAAGTGCCACGCTAGTAGTAACAAGTGCCACGCTAGTAGTAACAAATCAAAACCGATCCAGCGCCCACGGAGGATCCTTCGATCTCATCACCAGGAGGTTTGTCATTGCTGTACTGCACCCTGGCAGGATGGTTCTCGTCAGGCAGCCATCGCAAATCCAATCCAAAAAGAGCGATCCGTTTTAAAAGGAAAAGGTTGTTGCTCATTTCTTACGTCTCAAAACACTTCTCCCCTTCTTGACGAGGTGTTTTCAGCAAACTCTTCTTTGCCGAGTCCATCGTGAGACCAGTCCATCGTTAAAAACAAGACATTCGATCACTCACAAGCTTGAGTGACCGGACCCTCAGGGCCTTCCATCGGATCGAACTCCCTGCATCCGTGGAAAAGCAGAGGTTTGACTCCGTCCCCCCCAAAGAACCCAACAACATCACCTACTATATATGTAAAAACACCTCAGATGGTCCATGCTTTCAGGTCTCTCGTGCTCTTGTGCTCTTGGAGAACGAAAGGCCTGGTCTTCTGAAACTCATCCACGCAGAAGGCCTCGATGAGTGATCCGAGAGACTCTCTCTCTCTCTCGCTCTTTTGGTCCGTGGTTTCCGGTCCAAAGCGGGAATCCAACCAGAAATGAAACAAAGTATGGAACCAGAGAAGAACTGGAAGATGCTTCATAGATGACATTCGCATAATTGCTATGGACATAGACTTGAAGAATCCATGGCTCATTTGGAAGACTTGCATGGAGATTTGATGAGTTTGGAAGAATCCATGGCTCTTTTTTAGATCGATCTATGAATTCCATTGATCGATCCATTCCGAATGGCTCGCCGCTCGTCTCCGGTGTCGGGGCATCCGATTCAACACCCATGGCGGTTGGGCGAAAGGAACCTATCCCAAGCCCAGTCTGACCCAGCCAAGTCCAGTCTGTGCGTCATGACCTACTCCTTGAGTAGTAGTGTTTTTGGTGTATTTTGAAGGTCATGGTCATGGACGCAGATAGGGTATGGATCATACTATGGATCAAAAAGATCCCAGAAAAAGGACTAACCACCATGCAGGTCTCAGGTGTACAACATCCAGCCCACGATTCAAACACTTACGGCCCTACTCCGACTCTGAAAATCCCCGCCGTACGCGACGCCGCCCCAAGCGCCACTGTACGACCTCCAAGGTGCAAATTCCTCCGCAGGCCGTGGGGCTTTGGGATCCTGGCCGTTCGTGGCCGTTTGTGGAGGACGCCCTTTTTTCGCTTCCAACTCGCCCTGCGAAGTCGAGAAATGTCGTGGAGAACGCCGTTCTCATCATCTTCTGTTCTCATTGTCCATGCATCCAAACATGCAGCGACTCCCAGCCCACCTTGTCTGCCTCATCTGCTTCATCATCTGAGTTGCAGGGGCTCTGGACAGAAGAACTTGAGAAGGCGGAACATTCAAGGGAGAGGGAGTTCAAAGTAGATGAGTAGAACACGCACATCCCAAATCGGTCATCTTGCGGAAGCGGGGGATGATGAGAGACGCAGCTCTAAGAGCTGCGTCTCAAATCACTCAAGGGCCTGTTTTGATGCAAAAGAACCGGTCTTTTGGCATCTGCTGCATGATCTCAGCCCACTAAATTCAAAAAAAACAGCTTCAAAGGAGGGAACTGTTTGGGTGTGCAGTTTTTCTGCACATCCAGCATCGGCCAGTTTAAAGCTCTCCGAAAATGGTCGAATCGCATGAATTTCCACATGGCCAATGGGAGATGTGAATCTTCGTGAGGTATACTACTCCTGATTGCAATGCCCAAGATCCTTGAAATGTGTTCGGTAACCAAGCAGCTAAGGTCGTGAAAAATCTCACAACAAACATGCTGCAAGCACTAGCTGACTGAAACGTCTTATCTGATGTTATCTGGACAATTCTGGACATCGAGAAACTTGAGAAGAAACAAGCAAGCACTTCAGCTCCCCGTCGTCTTCACAGCAAAGTGACAATGTGGGTAGCAGTTCTTGCAGTAGTCGGTACAGCAGTCCTCGGGTGAGTTGGGTGAAAAAAGACCTTTGGGAGATATGTAAAGTGATCCCTGGTGGGTTTAATCCATGTATATATAGGTTCTTTCCATGTAGTCGCCCAGCATGCTCATGGTATTTCCTGGCGAAGGTAGAATGCAGTTGTGTGGTCCACTTTTTGCTGCCTAGACTCCCTTTGTTTCTGCTTCACCGTTGACCAAGGTAAACTGACCAGAATCAGTCGATGGGATTCTAAACCCGAGGACTGAAGAACTCACCTGGGCTCGTTGGCTATCCCAAAATGAAAGCCAACACCGAAAAAAAGGAATATTGCAAGAAAGTATTCTCACGCAACATTGCGTTGTTGCTCATCACCCCTTGACATCCTATTTCTATTTAATATACAGGTCAACTGGTGCACCACCACAATCCAAACCAGTAGGGTAACCATTGCCCTTACCTGTCTTGTCCATACCGTCTGGCAGCCAGATCCCTTGACCGTGCCGCCCCCACAGGATTCACCCTAGCATGCCCTTGTTGGGGCATGCGCATTGACCGTGCGCTTAAGAACAGGCTGCCATGGCTTACGGGCCATTCATCGTGAGTACGTGGGGCTGAAAATGGCTTTCAGACCACTGGGTCCGCGCGGTCAGCGGTTCGCACCGTGCCCGTACCAACGGTACTCGCGCAAATGGTGCAACGGCCACGGCCGGGTCGGTCCTTGCAGTTCCAGCGCGTCTTTTGCCCGTCGTCGGCGGTGCGGTCGCACTCGTCGCAGCTCCAGTTGCTCCATCCGTAGCCGCCTGGCAGCGGCGGTGCTTCTCGGAGTTTCAGGGAGGGTCTCCAGCGGGAATGGAACAATGTGAGAATGATCTATGGTCTGAGATATTCCCCATGATACTATAATTTATAATTCTCGTACATGCTCAGATATTTTTCCACCGTGGGGCTCTGTACCAAAAAATCTGCATGTCGATCTACATGTACATGATGTATACATGACGTAAAGTGCCGGTGATATCGGTGATGTCAATCTCCGAAAGATTACGAGACTGCTTGCATGTTGGCCAGAACCTTGGATCTAGCGGCCTACTAGTAGCAGTTGTGCGCTAAATCACAGCCAGCCGCTCTTAGCTGTGTTCTTCACGTCCCAAAAGCGTCCAAAAAAGATTGTGATCGTAATTGTTGCGCTTTCCAAATAAATAGCTATTCACTGGAACTGCCTGAAGATACAGATCACAAACTACGTACTTTTGGACTCCCAAACACTCGAGCCACACTCGACTCCCTGACTCCCAAAGCCGATCTCTCTCATCCAGCGAACCGCGAACCGCGAACCGCGCCTTCCACATTTTCACCCCACCTGAAAACAATCGGGCGAACCAGCCGACACAGTCGAAAGTCGACACAGTCGAACGAAACCTGGAAGGAAAAGATCGACCTCTTGCTGTCTTGGAAGAAGATTCAGGCCCTTCAGGTAAGGTGCAAGGAAACACTTCAGGTCGGGTGCAAGTGGAAAGAAGCAAATCTGTTGAATATTACTCCAACCTGTAGACCGGCTGAGATCGCATGTATACACGGGCTCCATCTCAAGTGGTGTGAGGTTCCTTCACAAAGACACAGAAAGAGAAAAACATGAAAACACAGCACATAAAGCCATTGTTTTCACCTAAACGCACCTAAATAAATCTCAACTTATGGGTATCCTTGTATCCTGAAGGAGGCACTCAGAAAACCACATGAATATCCCCATGCTTTGAAGCTTCCCAACGCTGTTCCAGTGCCGGTAAGCCGGTAAGTGACACGTCGAGCTCGTCGTTCCCATTCCAGCCGCATGTCTCGGCGGCCAAGGCACAGCATGGCCGTGCCGCAATTGGGACAGGTGGGAATCCTCCGACTCACCAGCTTCACCTTCTCCGGCAGGTAGGTGGCCTGCATGTCGACGTCAGGAGCGAGAATCTCGCACGAGAGGGGGAGCATCTTGGAAAAAAGATGTCTGGAGGTCTCCAAAAAAGGAACAGGTTTAAAGCCAGCAAGTTCTCGGCAGGTTGTGGATCCATCATGATCCGTATACAACTGATACGGCCAAATAAATAGATTCTGAGATGATATGACTCAGTCAGCGAGCCAGTTACGAGGGTGTTGCATCAACCACAGACTCCATCCCCCCTCCTTCTAATGATGGTGACCTACCAGGAGTCAAATGGCTTAGCCATGCATCCTGAAGCCCCTCTTCACTGTACTACGAACATGAGGATGATGCCAAAACACTGGTTGTACTGCGTAGACAGTATAGACAGTGAGTCTTCGGATCATAACCGGTGGGCACCCCTTTTCGAAAGCGGTCGGCTCGGCGGGTCGACTGCGCTGGTTCCCAAGCTTGGCGGCTTGGCGGATGCTGGGACCATCGGCCATGAGATGCTGAAAAAGTCCGCTTCTTCAAGTAGACAGAAACACCATGACATGGCTGTGGGTCATGGCACCCTGGTTGACCCCGGATCGGGATGTCAACCTCCGGACTGGTGGGGAGGTTGGGGTACCCTCAGAGGCCCTGTAGAGGGAATTCACTTTCTTCCTGTCAGACTCTTGGCTCTGAGCCGCCACGACATGTCATGTACTCTCTTCCCACCAATGACTTGCCGGAGTCGGAGATCATGCACGGTCGGATCGGACGCCCCACATGAACAAACACACACGCGCGAGAAACTCGCCGCGACGCCCCACATGCTGCGGCCTCGCTGCCATCTTCCGCTTGGATCACATACTGAGGGCCACGTTCTCAGTGTCCGCACGTTCGATCGGGGGAGCTGGGAGGATTTTTCAGGGATCAGAGGGTCCGGGGCAAGACTCTCGCCACCCCTCCTTGGTTCCCTGGTGATGATAACACTGCATGTGTTGGAACCCAAATACAGTATGTGGAAGATATGCTCAGTTCAACATCAGCACTGAAATTGCAAAATATATGCCTTATTCCGCTTTCTGGAACTCGTTTGATCAAATCTGGTTTCTGTCTGGGGTTGCTTGTGGGCTTCCAACCAGCCTCTTGACATTTGCCAATTATACTGGAGCGATTCATTATATATATATATATGTGCTGATATGTGCTGTTTCAGTTTAGTTTAACTACACCAGTGCGTTCGTTGGGCACCAAAGCCCCAGCCGCGGCTGGGCCAGAAGAGTCTGCCAAACGGCCAGCCGAATGGGTCGTCACCAACCACCCGCCGCGGGACCTCGCCACGAACACGCCCCCCCACCGTCCCACGTGGGTCCGACCAGTGAGGGCATCCGAGGCACTGATTTTCAAGACCGTTCCAGGTTTGCCGTCCACTTCGACCTGGAGATGCCGTCCAGAAGTATCTCTCGGAGGGTTCGAGAGGTGTTCAGCAGAGCGGCAGAGTGGAGGTGTTTGGGGGGGGATGTCTTGGGAGAAGGATCCAACACATCCTGCACCGGGATGGCGCAGTGACCTGGAGAAAAGTGCTTGGGCAATGAGGCAGGGACGCGTCCGAATCGGGAAATTGCTGATACGAAACCCTCGCGTGGCACGTGGGAGAAGTTCCTAGCCCTTCCCCTTCCAGAGCGTGATTCAGTGGATGGCCCACCGTCCATCCAAGCATGCTGGACCATTAACAATACGAGTCAAATCTCAAAGCGGGAAGCTCTTCCCAGAATTAAGAACTGAGAATACCAACAAACCCAACATCACAAGGAATGCGGCTCTGATCTAAACCCCATGTAAGATTCTCAGAACCCTGAAAATAAAAAACTACAGTACCAAAATCAAGCACTCAATTAGAACAAACTGATTCAGACCCTGAACCGCTATTTCCTGTGCCAACCACTGTGCCATCCGCATGCCTGGTCTCCTGCGTGGTAATCGCTTTGGATCTCCATGTCCAACTTCACTAACTTTCCGCCTTTCTTGGAGTCCACCTGCGAACAGTTCACGATGGTAGAACTGATCTCCATCTTGAATGACATGTCCTGAAACACGTCACGAAGCAACACCAAAGCAAAGAAAACCATGTAATTATGAGCGTAAGTATGCAGCGTATTCCATGTTCTTCTTGCCTGCAAAGACTCATTTACAAACTCCCGGAACCTTTTTGGTGTTTTCTCTGCGACCCATCGAAACTCGACCGCTGTTTCTCCCTGTTTCTCCCAACCCGCCGACCCATCGAGTGCGAGGCGGAGGCCACTGGTTCTACGGCCCACGGCCAGCATTGGAAACTCTCCGTCAACACTGCGTCAGACAAGAAAAATGTCGACATATATGTTGGATTGTTTTGGTCAAACCCATGGAATGTGATGACACATCTTTCTTTTGTGCCCAATGATCTCGCCAGGAATTCTATAGCTGTGCTTGGGGGGTCAAAGAATGGTCCTCCACAAGCCCGCGGTGGGTCGACGGTGGGTCAATACATGTCAATACTACGGGGTCGGTTAACATCCCTTCGCGAGTCCATGTTGCCCATGCTGGGGGTCGACGAGAATCGCATGAAATCATCCAGGCCAACTGTTCTTCCTCCCAAACGAACACCACAAAGAGGCCTCAACCACGCTGCCAAAGCGTCGCTCACCGTTCTTGCCCTCGACCTGGTGGCCAAGTGGCCGCCGTGGCTGCGTGCGAGTTCAGCCGTGGGATCGCTTTAGCAGGAAGAATAAAGAGAAAGACTCGCAGATTTGGGTAGACAAGGCCTTGACATGTTTTTGTTAGGATTTTGCAACCGACGCACCCAGTCAACGCATCATCCAAAATCCAAAGTGCTGGGATTTTCTTGATTTGGGGGGAGGCCATCGATGCACTTCAGGGGAGCAGTGTGAACTGCATGACCTGGGTAAAGCAGCCACATGCAACATGAACCGAATGCCCTGAACTCGCCCCAGAGTTGTTGAATTTCCAAAAGGAACTTGCAAAATGTAGGGTTTTCCATATGCAGCTCAAGGTTTTGCAAACTTCAAGTTCTGCAGCCACCAACTCCACTGAACTAGTATATGATCTGATTTAGTCTTGGAAACTAGTTTTCTTTGGGATTGTCTACAAGTGTTCCATTCCATGAGTAGCGGGGGGGTTAAAGAAGGACGGACTGAAAGCCATATCCGTCGTATCTGTCGTTGTCCACAGTGTGTATATCAGGTCCTGTTCCACACGATTGCACAATTGGAAGATCTACACTGTAGGGTAGATCTTCCAATATTCTATAGTAGTCAAACAGAAAGTATTGTTGCAATACCACATATATTATACAAATCAACATATGCCGCGCATGCACCCCTGGCCCTGGTTTCATAGAGGATATTGCATCAGGTCCTTAAACTACATAGATACATCGCACTCTCATACCCAGACACTCCATGGGACTGCCACAGGACTGCCACCCCATTGACCCCTCTGGCACCACCACCCCTGGCCGTTTCGACTGCCAGTCCGGCAGTCCCATGGAGTATCGCACCCTCGATGCATCGGTTTTCCGGACATCCTCCACCTTCGCCGGTTGCATCGGATCGCCTCGATCCGCATGCCCGGCCCGATGCTGGACTTGGGGATGCCGCCTGACGATGGATCCGGCGGATCCGGGGGCGACTGGTGCGGTGATCAAGTAGAGCCAATGGTGGGCTACTGCGGGCTGGAGCAAGACTCTAGCGTGAGCAAGGGATGGCTAAGGGTTATTTTGGGGCTCGCGGTGTTTTGGGGCAAGCATCCTGAGAACAGGAGCTCGGCGAATTCGCAAGGAAGCAGTCCCTACACAAGAAACAATCACCACGTGTCAGTGAACATGAACCAAATCATCGCCGTCTCCAGATCGCCATCTGCCTATGGGCGGTTGCACTTCTTTGATTTCACCGTTGCTTAAATGCTCAAACCCAGTGGATGTTGGCTCAGCTCTTTTGAGAATCTTTAGCTTTGCACCCCTGAAAGAAGGTATATATATATATACCGTACCCTCACATGAACAATTCTACGACTGTCGCACCTGAGCCATGTGGTCATCGCCCGAGGAACGGGCCATGTCTAGCCCCATGTCCTATCGAAGTAAAACGAACACCCGAAACCCGACGACGGAAGATGGATGATGCTGGGCGCCGCGGCCAATGGTTTGTTGGTCCATTGTCCTTCTTCCAGGGAGTCTTTGGGGGATCTCCGTATTCTAATGCACACCCACAAAGGTATATTGTGTGAGGATGAGCCGTTGATAGGCGGAGACAACCCAAGCGACCGTCGGTTTGGTTTTCACATGACCGCAAATCGCTCCAGGGATGAGGGGGTTTATTCACTTTGACCCAAAAATTGACAGCTTTTTGTGAAGGTGTCCTAGGGTGTCTGCCCTTTTTCTCAGGTGCACGTAAGTCTCCGGATCAGCAGCACGAAATTCGCGCCATTCGGCGGGTTGCGCGTATCCCGCCTGTCTTGATCATCAACTTGGCACAACTGTCGAAGGTCTTGCACCTCTTGCTGAAAATAAACCTGCGAAACGCAAATGATTGGACGTCAGATATGACCACGCAGGCCACGCAGGCAGAACCACAGACAGTGCTGAAACGAGCGGCTCGACTCAATCCAGGCAGGTTGTGTTCCCGTTGTGGAATGGCAAACAATCACAGAAAAAAATTAAGAAAACACCCTTTGGATCCCTTTGGTATGTTCAAACCATGCATGTTGACAAGACCAGGCGACCCTCATAGACCCTCAGAGATCAATATATGATATCTGTGGTGTAGCAAGCTAGTGAAGACCACACCGACCTTCACCTTCACCGGCACCCGACCTGGATCAAAGGAACGGGTCTCGCGGCTACGACGCGCGGCTACGACGCTGGTGCATCCCAGGAGCTTGCAGCCCTTGGCGTCTGGGAAGGCGATATCCTTCGTCCAGGAGTGCCGTTCCGCTTTATACCTGATCTGCGAGTCGTCGTCGTCGCACGCGCCGTCTTCCGCCGGCCGCCGAGGTCGAGGTCGGAGAAGAGACCAGGTCCGTCTCAAAAGCTGGGCTAAGGGGCCAAAAGGAATCTGAATGGCCCTATATATGGCTCAAATATCAAACCACAGGTTGGATGTTCAGGGTGTCTATGCTGATTCGCGCTGGAACCGCCTTTTTTGGGGTGAAAGGTCTGACCACGTCATACCACGTCCTTTCGCTATTGCATAGTCACCAAGCACCAACACGGGCGTCTCAGAGTCTCATCTCTCCCTGTCCAAATCCATCGCTCCTGTCCCAGCACAGAAAGCACCGAAGCTCCACTCTCATCCTTCGCCCACGTCCTCCCTCCTCGCATACCTCGACCCCTTCGACCACCGTCCGAACGCCCACTCCAAGTGGCGGATGAGGAGTTTGAATGAGATGGCAGCCCTCGCCGAAGCCTGCAAGGTCGAGTCTCGCCCCCGACGGCAAGGTCGACGGTGGTCGGCATGTGCCGTGGCATGCCGTGTGACGGTGGGGACCGGAGGCGACCTCCGCGGGTCCAGTGGTTGGGGGCCACCGGGGTGTCGATGGATGTGCAAAGCCAACTTCCAAGCAGGAGCGAAGTGGGAGCGAAGGTCCGTGAGCTAAGGCTTACCCCCCCCGCAAACTAACACGGAACCTGAGAAATGACCAGTGGTTTCGACCATGTTCCGAATACCAACCCTCAGTGGTTTTGGGGTTGCATGTGGTCCTCTGCAGAGGACAGCTCACTCCAAAAGATCGGATATCAGCGGGACTATCAGCGGGAGGAGAAGCGACTGGTGAAGCACAAACTTCTGAAGCGGAAAACAAATAAGACAAGAAGTCTGGTGATGTTTGATGCTGTATCATTTCCGTGGCTTCCTCCGATTTGAGTCAGCAAAATCCCACCCTCCTGGTAGGCACTCTCCTTGGTGGGCACTCCCTCCTTCAGCACGACACGAACAATTCCCTGGTGGGCCACACCTTTCGACGAGAGGTACAGCTGCTGTGCTGCCTGCATTCGAGCATTGGCTCGGGGCCAGCGTGACACAAGTTCCACACAAACCACACCACACAAACCACCATGGACTTCCCTGCTGGTACTTCCAGGCGGGGTGCTGCAGCGAAGCGTCAACTTCAGAACCTCAGCGCCTACAGGTTCCTTTCGAGTGACTCGTGGGGGGAAGTCCCCCTCGTGGGGAGCATGCCTGAAAGCATGTGAAGAACTATACCTGCACAGTATTGACGTGTATTTAAAATCAGGGCCGGCCCACCCCAGGGCTTTGAGAAAAAAACATAGAAAATCAACCAGTCCAACCCCACTGAGCAAGAAATACACACCAGGTGGGGGCTGTTTCGCACGACGAAAGGGTCGGCCACGACGAGATCGTCGGGCCTCTCCAATCTTCCGCCACGCCGTGGGCGCGTCCTGGTCACGTGGGGCGCATCTGGCGGTGAACAGAGCCCCCCTTCGTCGCGTCCTTGCAAGCAAACCGGTATATGATATTCCATTAAAAACACGGACATGGCAACACGGAATAGGAATTTGATGTTATTGTGTTAGAAGTCACCAACTGGATATGGCTGCCATCCTGCTTTAAAGCCACTAACATTGAAGTAATGTGGTTGGCTTCAGGACTCAGAAAACGTCAAATGGGCATGCAAAGTTGTTGCAAACCCATTCTATACCTGAATCCATCTTGCATCGTTTGGAGCGACTTGACCCAAGCCTTCAACAACTGCCATCAGCCACTGATGAATGTTCATAACATGTCAGTGTGCAAACCCTCGCTCATTCGCATGACGCCTGTTAATTATGTTGCTCTTTCATCATGTATCAGGAACCTGCATCAGCCTCTTCCAAAACACCCATCCGTCGAGCACCTGCCAGGCCGGATCCCATGAAAAAGCTTGGGAATCCCATCCGCAAGCGCGTGACTGATTTACAAAGCGAAACCAAGCTGCATCAATCCGATCCAATACATTCAATCTTACCATTCAATCTCTGAGTATCTCGCCGTTTCTTCGTTTTCCCGAAACCAACCGGCGCTCTCGCGCGGCTCGAGAGCGGCTCTCCTCGCTGCAACCGACCGTCTGCAGTATCTTGTCGAAGGACACATCCACCGAAGGCCTGACGGATCGATCACCGCGGCGTTGCGAAGGGTGATCGAAGGCGCGAGGGTTGGACCAACGGCGGGTGGTTTTGGCCTTTGGAGGCCTTTTGTCCTTCACCTTGTTGGTGCTTCTGTTTTTGAACAAAACCATCAGTCACTGGTTCATTGGTTTTCTATGGTGTTCTGATCTTTTCAGCCATGCATCCGGTTGCTATAGAGCAACCCCAAAAAGATGCTTTGGCGCTTGGAAAGGACTCATACAATACGTTGCTGTGCTGCCTGTAAAATAAAACCATTTTGAACAGGGTCACCATCATAAGCTGTGTGGCTAATAAATGCTAATAATGCTGTGAATGGCTTCATTAGTCCTGTAATGTCCTGTACGGCCATTGTTGTCTAGGCCGGCCAACTCAACGTTTACCGATCTGGATGGGGTCCCCACTGCCTGCTTGGTTCATTGGTTGCTGGATGTTTCTGGTTCAAGTGAAAACACCATAGACTCCCTATGTTCACAGCTTGGGGGCCGGGGATTCCTCAACAACGCCGGGCGTGTTCCAGTTCTCGAAAGGCCTCGCGTTACGTCCGGAGACGGTCGACGAGGTCCATTCCATCACGAGAGAGATCGAGAGATGGAGATGTTATGAGACCCAGACGCTCCACGGCCATAGGACTGCCGCCCCTGACATGACCCCTCTGGCACCACCTCTGGCCTGATCGGCATATACTATACCATACATGGAGCGTCTGGGAGATGTTTGAATCAGCGATTTACTGTAGTTTCAGAGTTAAACCGGAGACGTCCTTCAATATAAGCTATAATATAGGATCTTTTCCATCGGGATTGAGCCATCTACTCTTATCACGACTCTACTGTGAGCGAAGTTGAGCAGTGCTGAATAGTGCAGGTGTTCGCTTTGATTTGAAGATCCGGGACTCAAGATACAGCTCTCAAAACCTGAAGGCTCAATATGATCGTCTTCCACAACAACACCACGCTCTGCGTCACAGTCGTCTGCCTCCTCCCACAACGATCACCTCCAGCATCTTCCACACCCCTTCCACCCGGTCATGAAGTCGTTTTCTTTATTCCACCCTGATCTCTGCCAGCTCCACCCGACCCCGAGCGTTCTGGGAGAAACCCCCTTCCCCAGATCCCTTCAGCTTCCCCGCAACAGCTCCTCGCCTCCGCATCATGACCTCCTGACCACGGCCGGTCTTCTGCAGCAGCTGATCCGTCCACTGCTTCAGCGCAGCTCCTTCCACGTCCACGCCTTCTCGAGCGTGGCGAAACTCGCGTTTGGGGACGCCCTCCACCCGTCCACCGTCGGCCGGCGTCGCCGTTCTGTGGCTCCACGAACAGAGAATTCAGAGAGATCGATGCTCGCCAGCTGCTGGTGGTGCAAGATGCTGGCTATTAGCACGATGCTGGCTTGGGATGTGATGCTTTATCTGATGAGACCTGTGCAAGTGCCGCTGGATCTTCAGAGTTCGTTCGAACATTTCAGGTGGAGCATCCCACGGATTTGGATCTGTGGACTCACCAGTGCTTACCAGGCAAGATCTCTTTGCAGTTGGTCTGACTTGTAGTACTCTTAGCCTTAATCCGCCTTAATCTTTCATTAAGGCCTGTCAGGGCAACCCAGAAATCCAGGGGCCACAAACCAAACCCGAAGTCCAGCACAAATTCTTGATCGTTTGTAAGTCCCACGGTCGAGTCCGAATCACAGAACCGGATCAGCTCCGACGCTCCGAGCTCTGGTCGCTGTTTGCGTCATCCTTCGATGCAGTCAAGTCACCCTGTTCCTGTCCGGGCGGGTCCTCTCCGCTCCCCGTCAAGCCGCTCCTTCACCGAACCGGCACTCTGCCGGCCGAGTGCCGTTGCCAAGCGGCCCAAGTCTTTCATGCCCTTCTTGAAGGCCTCCAACTCGACATAGCCCGAACTCTCCGGGCTCGCCATCCACCCTGACACCGACACCGAAAGGAGCGACCACGTCTCGACGCAGTCAGTCGTGTCCTTCTCACCACCCGACCCATGCGGCTTCTTCAAGTCGCTCCAGGCCCCTTTCCCCCCACCCCCCACCCCAGCTTGCTTGTCCCGCGCCTTGCACCGGTGGTGCGGTGTCCTGAAGGAAGGGATCCGCTGGCGCCTCGAGGGCAAAGGTCCCATCGTCCTTGAAGTTCTTCGCGCAGTCCTTGGAGCGAGCGGTGTTTCCCACCACGGACGGCACAGGTTCGACGAACATCGATGGCTGGCTGGGTTGAAACAGTCGGTGGTTGTTTGTTTCATGTCTCTTTAAGGTGCTTTGGTCTAGCACGGCCAAACAGAGATGGTCTGACCAAAAGGGGGAAACCAACAAGTACCAGAAAAAGTGCTTGATGGTTCTTTCTTTCAGTTTCTTTTGGCTGGTGCTCCTGCATAGATCTTCCAACTGTGCAACATGTTTGCCTTTTCATCTATAAAGCCTGCCAAACGCAGAACATTTGCATAGTTGGAAGATCTGTGTGATGCATATGCAATGCACTCAAAAGTACGCACTCTTTCCTGTGTGGTCAAGGGTAGATGGTTTTCGCCATGTTTTCACTCTCCAAAGTTAGGGTTGTATCAGTGGAGCAGGTGGACTTAGCAAGATTGTGTGTCCTCTGGAGCCGAGCAATCTCTCTCAAAAATCAGCATGGCTGCACACCTATCCAGGGGATGATTTGCTTTGATTGGCACATCACAAAGGGTACCAACCTAGAGCAAATCATCGATATCTTGCTTGGGAATGTGAACGATCAATGATAACCCGGAAACAGCTGCTGCTGCAAATTGGCTGGTTATGCGGAATTTGGCTTCATTCTTGACACCGTTTAGTTGATACCATCTACCGGGAGTTGAACAACAACGATGATGAGGTAAACATCAAACAGTTTGCCCACGAACCTCCAAGAAGGTGGGGCATGCCCTTGTGATATCCTGTCTTCGGAACATTGTGCTACGAAGTAGCCGGGTAAGCTCCTTCCAATATCATCCCAAATCATGGAACAACTTGACAGCTTCATGTTTTCGCTGGGCCCTTTTCCGATTACAAGTGGTCCCTGAGATATCCAGCAAGACAAGTGGCCGAAGAACAGCTTTTAAAAAATAGCGCCAAGTGCAACGCCCTTGAGCCGCCTCTCAGTCTCTAGGGCAGCCTCCCCCAATAGCGGGCCTCTAGCCATAGCTTCCCCCCAACTTCATGGTCTTCACCATGGTATCGACCCGAGGTCCCACTGACTGGGTGCTTGTAGTCGCGCCGTACGAACCGGAGGGTTCCGAATGTTCGGAGGGAACCGAAGTTGACGGTGGAGTCAACGGTTGCCCCCCAAACGGTGGCTGCGCAGCCTCGTGACCTTATCTGATGACCTTCCTCTAAGGAAGCAAATACATGAATCTTAGCTTACCCAAGGTTTCTGCTGCTCTCCAAGAATGATTTCCTTCACTTTTCTTGTTCATCGTCTTCACCTATTTTGATCATCTTAAAGAGATGTAAACAAACATCACGCTCCATCCAGGACCCCCAGTCGGTTCTTTTTTATTGGAGTGTCCCTTCTTCACCTCTTTTCGGGGTGGTTATGGGCACCCGGAATCAGTGCTGGATCTGGTCCTCTTCGAAATCTTCTTCTTCATCGATCGCCCAACACGCACCGACCTGACCTTGGATCCAAGGGACCGATGGACGGGGCGACCCGAGACGCGCTCAGAACCACCAGACGTAGACCATCCGGGTTTGGATCTCTACCCAGAGAGTCTGGGACACCCAGAGTCTGAGTGGTCCATGGTAGATTTGGGTCCATCACAGACACAGTCGGTGCGAAAACACCGCGACTGAGCGGCAATCACCGACAGATCGTCCTTGGACTTGATCCTCAGCGAGACCGGAGGCCCGGTCCGAGACCGAGACGAAAGAAGAAAGTCCGAGACCGAGACCCTTTCCACCTGTTTTTTCTTTTTTTTTAAGCTTCATCATTGGGTTCTGTTGGGTTAGTTAAATACATTTGAGTGAGTGTTTTGTCTGTTGGGTTTTTGGTCTCTAGTTGGATGTCCCCAATCCACCTAAAAAAGGGATGTTGCAGCCGACTCCTGGGACAGGCAAGCTCGCTCGCTCGCTCGCTGCCAGCAGCTCGCTGCGAGCTACTTGCGAAACCGGAGGCGATTGGGTCGGAGCAGCGAGCCTCGTGTTTAAACTTAAATGTCGATTCCATGACACACACACAGAACTGTTCTTGCTCAGAGTACAGTTGTTGGTGGGGGTTGTCCATGGTTGTCCAGTAACTGAAGAACATGAGGTTTGACTGTCTGGCGGCTTGTAGCCTCCGCAGTCAAGCCATTGCAACTTTGCTTGGTGAGTGGCACCAGTATCCAGCAACGAATGGGTGATAAATGGTGATAAGAATGCGCCGAGTATCGCCGAGTCATTGCAGCTACCTACTCGAGCACTAGGATACAAGTTGATACAAGTTGGATGTCCGCAAATTGTTTATAAGATCTTATAAGGAAAATCCTGTTCTCTGGGAATGTGGCACACCTTCACAAAGGCTATAACATCAGTGTGTTGGAGTAAGTAATCCTGGGCCATGATATCTAAAACACCGTCCTCTGCCAAGTGGTGTGTCCTCTGCCGAGTGGTGCCGTATTTCTTCCATCAACAGTAGCAGCGAAGTATACGAGCGCATCTAACCAGATCTAACCTCTTGGTTTGGGGGATGTTGTTTCTACGCGCATGTGCTGATCCAATATCGGTTTAAAAAGAAGCAAAGCTTGATCCTTGAAACTCTTAGGGGTCTCCAAACCGTTTCTCCACCGATCCATTTGGTCAACAGAGGACTTGGTCTCCCAAGCCAAATCCCACCCTTCCAATCCACCGAATCAATGCCCAAACTCCCACCCTTCCAAAGGTCGTGGCCTTCCTAGGCCTCCTTCCCACCCTTCCAACCCTTCCCCCGGAAGCCCGGCGCGGCCCTCGGTCCAAGACGCCGATCGAGGTCCTCGCCATCGGTCCAGGTGATTTCGTAGCGGTCGCCGCCCAAGACTTTGGTGATGACCCCCGCCTGGAGCGGCGATGTCAGCGGCGGAGTGGAAGAGGATGGCTGGAAACTGCAGGCGTTTTCTCGAGGCGGCAGAGTGGCAGAACAAGACCCAGGTCTGGTGGAAACTGGTCTGGTGGCCTGAGGGGAAGTGATGTGTTGCCTCAGGTAGGCACAGGATTCTTTGGATGTCAAAGCTTCTAGACCTTGACAAAGGAGGGGTGATTGTTCCTGTTTGCATAATAGTTCGAATCATGAAACCACGTGGTGCTTCAAGTCAAGTTTCCATAGACTATTATCTCTTGAAAGCATATATGATGGATCGCCCAAGTCGCCTTTGGGATCGCCATGGATCGCGTGTGAACTCGCCACATGAGCGGTCGACCGTGCCCGTCTTCACAAGTGAAACACCTCTGAGGGGCACCAGACGAGCAACGCGATCGAAACTCTGGCATTTGCCAGTGTTTTTCTTCTTGTGACAAGGAGAACAAGCCCCTTTCGCCACCAAACTGACTGTGGTTCAGCAGCTGCCATGGAAGATGCGAACTGTCTAGCACAACAACTGAACCACTTCCAAGTGGCCATTGCGAGCTGCAGCTTTACGGGCGGTTGCCCCATTTTCGTCTGTCGCATTCGTGTCAGCTCCAGCCTCGAGCAACAAGCGCAACACTCCCAAGTGGACCTTGCCCAATGCATTTCTCAAAGCGGTTGCCCCAGAAAAGTCTCTCGCATTCGTGTCAGCTCCCCGCCTCGAGCAACGACTGCACCACTTCCAAGTGGTCCTTTTCAGCTGCAGCCATCAAAGCGGTTGTCCCAAGATAGTCTCTCGTGTTGGCGTGAGCTCCAGCCTCGAGCAACGACTGCACCACTTCCAAGTGGCCATTGCCAGCTGCAGCCATCAAAGCGGTTGCAGCATATTGGTCTGTCGCATTCGTTTCAGCTCCTGCCTCGAGTAAAAACCGGACCACTTCCAAGTGGCCATTGTCAGCTGCAGCCATCAAAGCAGTTCTATTTTCTCCTGCATTCGCGTCTGTCGCATTCGCGTCAGCTTCAGCCTCGAGCAACAACTGTACCACTTCCATGTGGCCCCGTTCTGCTGCAAGTAGCGGTGGAGGGTCAATGCCTGCTGCCATTGGGATCGAGTGGTTTCTGCAACAACTGTGTAACTTCAACAACTCGATTGTTCTCACACGCAAGGAGTAGATCCTCCCAAATGGTCTCCTCAGGCATACAAAAATCCAGGACTACCAACTGCACACTTGGTAGTTGTCTGAGCAGCAGGTCATCCTGAAGCTCGCCCATGTCTCCACTCAAGAGTCTTTGTCGGAATCTTGAGTATCCCACCCGACCGGCCAGAAGCTTCTTCAGATCCCTAACTGTTTTTCCACTCTCCACCATGTAGCCCCATCCCTCCTTATCAAGCTGGGTCACAGTTGCACCTGAGAGTGTTATAATCTCCATTGCGAAAAAGATCCTGGAGGAAATGGCCCTCGGGCGATTGCATGCATGAAACAACCCACCATTAATTAAGCTACCTCACTCAACTCCAACACTTTTGAAAACCTAGTGCGTCTGTGAGAAAAAGACAACCCTCGCGCGATCTTCAGACCCGGTCTCCGAAAAGTCTCCGAAACGCCCAATTGACCCCAAAAGCCCTGTTGTCCAATGTGATACCGTGATACCTTCCAATATATGAGCGTCTGCCAAAACGTACTGTCAAGTGGGTCTCCATGATGCTTCAGTCAAGTGGAGTCACTTAGATCGGGCGAGACGTCTTATAGATCGGTCGACCTGCCGTTTCCATGGTTTCGTGGCACGTTCCGTGAAAAGATCACCACCCTTCTTTCCAGGTCTTCACGCCCTGAACGCCACGCAGTGCGGAACGGATTTTTTTTCTCGGAACGGAACGGATCTTTGCCAAACATGGCACCGAAGCAAAGCTGCTGGACTGGAAGCTTTCGTCCCTCGCCACGCAGTGGGGAAAAAAAACAGAAGAACACCCAGAACCATCGGACTGGAATCATAGATTACTATATAGCTATTACCATACAGAAGAATGCAACTATGTCAGAAATAGAATTCGTTGCCCTAATAGTATATTTAGACATGTATCAACCATGCATCATCGGTGAATTACAGTCTGTAATCCCATGGTTCGACCTCTCCAGCTAGACCCGCTACCTCCCCGTCGCCCAGCTAAGCCACCGAACACCCGAACACCACCGACCGTGGCCTGTCGTGCTCCGTTGTTCCGCTGGGCCGTGACCAGATCCCCCTCGTGCGCCGAGGCATGCTCGCCTGATCCAAACGACGGTGGCGGAGGGAACGAAGACGAGTGATCGGCGGACGAGGGCGGCTTTGAGTGAGTTTTCTCGGGGACTGACAGTGCTCTGGGCACTCCATGATATGGTCCATGGTGATGAACATGTGATTTCTATCAGATGATTTCGACTATAATTTAATTACCTACATTGAGGTGATGGGGGGTCAATGTGCATAATTCCCATGGAGTGCCTGGGGTGGGTCAAGTGACATGCTGCTCGCACTGTCAAACCCTGGATCACGGCTCCAATAACGACCTTCTAGCAAGAGTTGCTTGGGACTCTCTGGGTATCACACGGTATCACTGTGGATCTCATTCAAAGCACACGACGACAAACAAGCATGTCATGCAATCATTTTGGACATGGAGCGTCGCGGCATGAGTTTGGAATCCATGGGAATGGTTGCTGCTACCCATGTTCAGTCAAAGTGCCGGAACAAATCCCCAAAAGCTGGCGCTGTGGCTGCCAGTGTGACCAAGAAAATATAGTACTGTAAAACATACATCATACAGCATACATCATCATACAATCATTAATGATAAAACATGATAAAACATGATAAAACAGCGTGCCTTTTTTCCTGCTCAGGCAATCTGACAACCGGCTCTAAACAATGGATTCTACTAATGCCAACATAGGATTAGGCAACCCCCCCCTATTAGTCTACCCAGCGTTCAGGCCCCAATAATAAACTAATTTGAACTACTAATTTCCACAGTCACCACCCTCTAATAATTTTTTTTCTTGGCTGAAACCCCCCCCTATTAGTCAACCCCCTGTCCCCCCAGGAAAAATATATTTATTCCAATATATATATGTGTTTAATTAGTTTTATTCTTTTTTCCTTTTCAATATCTTTTGGTCCATGGTGAAACTGATCTTCTGATCCACTCTTTTCCCATGCCATCTCTTGAGAGATAGCATTCTGATCCACCCTTCTCACATGCCATTTGGCATTCTTCCAGCTGATGCTCTCATCCATCCTTCTTATCATCCTTCTCATCCTGCTGCTCCTTCTTCTTCTCATCCTTCCCAGCAGCAATCTGTGCAGCCATTGTATACTCATATGGGATCTTCCTGCCCA